TGATGCCTAAGCCTTTGACAAAGGCTCGCCAGAAGTGGGAGTTGAAGATTGATCCACGATCTGAGATAATGTCTTGAGGTATACCATGAAGTCGGACAATGTGTTGGCGGAACATCTGGGCTAGTTGTGGAGCATCAAAGCCATCTTCTTTGTATGGGACAAAGTGTGCTTGTTTGGTGAGGCGATCCACAAAGACCATAATGCAATCAAAGTTGCTGGACAAGGGAAGTTTGACAATGGCATCCATGCTGATAGATTGCCAAGGTCTGGTTGGGACAGGGAGTGGTTGGAGAGGACCGTAGGGTTTGTGTCTGGGAGTTTTGTTTCTTGAACAAGTGTGACAACCACTGACGTAGGTGTTCACAAAGTGACGTAGACCGGGAAAGTAGTAGTGGCGGACAAGGAGATCATGGGTCTTGGCTTGACCAAGATGACCAGATGTAGGAGAGTTATGAACTTGTCGGAGTAAATCGAGTTTGAGCTGATAGTCGTCTGGAATGTATATTTGACCCTTATAGCAAAGGAGATTGTCTTGGAGGGTATAGTCGTGGAGTTTTTGCTGGAGTTCTGGAGTTTGGGGTTTACTTGGATTGCGTAGATGAGACAGCAGCTCTTGAAGGATTGGATCCTCAGTCTGTGATTGTCTGATCCTTGCAAGGATGTTGGAGTGAAGTGGGAGATCTGTGGGGATTTGGTTTGACTTGAGAGCGCCAATGATCCATTGTTCAGGTTTCAAGAGAGTATGTGGAGGTGCTTCAGCAGCTCTACTCCCCCCTTGAAGGTCTTGGCGTCTCGACAAGGCATCAGGTTTGCCCATTTTTGTTCCAGGGCGGTAGTGTATCTTGAAGTCAAAATTGGCAAGGAGTTCGGCCCAACGAGCTTGACGTCGGTTGAGGACTTTTGATGTTGTAAAGTATTCTAGGTTCTTGTGATCGGTGTAGACTGTAATATTTTGGGATCCTTCTAAATATGCTCGCCAATGTTTGAATGCATCCACAATGGCTAGCATTTCTTTATCATATATTTCATAGTTAAGCTCGGGAGGTTGTAATTTTCTGGAGTAGAAGGCAATGGGACAGAGACGGTTATTCAAGGAATGGGATAGGACACCTGCAATGGCGTAGTCTGAGGCGTCTGTTTCTAGGACTAGGGGAAGATGTGGTTGATAATGTTGAAGGATGGGGGCCCCGGTGAAAGTGGTCTTGAGGGTGTTGAAAGCAGACGTTTGTTGCTCACCCCACTCAAACTTAACATCCTTGCGGAGCAGTTTAGTAAGGGGGAGAGTCAACTTGGAGTAGGACTTGATGAAGCGACGGTGGAAGTTTGCAAACCCAAGGAAGACTTGGATATCATGGACAGATTTTGGCTCAGGCCAGTCAGTTACAGCTTCAACTTTTTTAGGATCCATCCTGAGTCCCTTATCAGAGACAAGGTAGCCCAGGAATTCAACCTCATGTTGGAAGAAGGTGCACTTTTCTGCCTTTGCCCAGAGTTGGTGTTGACGGAGTCGCTCAAGTACTTGGGAGACATGTTTGATATGTTCCTCTCTACTTTTGCTGAAGATGAGGATATCATCCAGATAGACAATAACAGAGATGTCAAGGAAGTCACGGAGGGTGTCATTGATAAGGTTTTGAAAAGATGCTGGGGCATTGGTGAGCCCAAATGGCATAACAAGATATTCAAAGAGGCCATAGCGGGTGCGGAAAGCAGTTTTCCATTCATCACCCTTTGCTATGCGGACAAGGTTGTAGGCGGCACGGAGATCAATCTTGCTGAACCAGGAGGCTCCTTGGAGTCGGTCCAGAGATTCTTGAATAAGTGGTAATGGGTATCGATTTTTCCTAGTGATTTTATTGAGTTGCCGGTAATCCACACAAAGTCGGAGGGATCCATCAGGTTTCTTGACAAAGAGTATTGGTGAACCAGCAGGACTGGTACTGGGGCGGATGAATCCTTTCTGGAGGTTGTCTTTAAGATATTCATCCAAAGCCTTGAGCTCTACTGCAGACAAGGAGTATATGGGTCCAAACTTGGGTTGGGCGTCCCCTTCCAAAGGAATGGCATGATCATATGGTCCATGTTCTGGAAGCTTATCGGAATTGGATTTCTTGAAGACATCAAGGTGATTGTGGAATTCGGGAGGTATAATCTTGAGGAGAGTTGAAATGTCTGGTTCTGGAGAGTCATCGTCCTCTATGGGTTGAGGATCAATGATGCTAGAGACTTGACTGGGAGTTGTGATGCCATAGACCGCAGCACTTTTGAGAGCTGAGCGGAAGGCTGCTGCACTGACAAGAGATATCTTGACAGGAGCCTGGGGTGATGACAGAGTTGACTGGAGATCTGGAGGAGTGTGAACTGGAGTATCCTTTTTGGACAGGTTGCTGGACAAAGTGGATGTGGAATCATAATGATGAGTTGGTGTACCTGAAGCAGTCTTGCTTGACAGGTTGCCAGGTGACTGGGAGTGTATGACGGAATCTCGACCCTCAGGTTTGTCAAACCTGATGCACTGCTGAAGACAGTACGGGGAAGAGAAATTGATGGACTGACGGGTCCAATCAATAACAGGGTTATGCTGGGAGAGCCATGGTAGGCCAAGGATGACAGGGTAGGTTCCAAGAGATGTGATATCAAGGGAGATTTCCTCCTCATGATCTAGGATGGACAGGGTTACTGGAGCGGTGTGATGTGTGATGTCGCCGGAAGAGATTGGTCGACCATCAATGACATGCACTTCTAGGGGTTCATCCTTCTTGACGGATGGGACTAGGGTTGTCTGGAGGAAGTTGACATTCAGGAAGCTATTGGTAGCACCTGAGTCAAGCATAGCATAGGTGTCATAGTGATGATTATTGAAGGATAGAGTGATAGGAAGACAAAGGTGTTCAGATGGTGTTGCTGGGATAGTTGAAAGTAGCGATGTTGCCGTGATCAAATGACGTTCTGATAGTACCGGATTGTGCCCAGGAGAGAGCCCCAGAGATGGGGCACGTCTAATTCTGGGGCTTGGAGTTTTTTGCTTGGTTGGTCGGGGTTACTTGAGTAGCGACCTTGGATGTAGTAGATGTTGCGTTGACCTGACCTTGCTGGCGCCTAGCACGGGCTCGACAGTCTTGAGCTTTGTGACCAGGCTTGCCACAGTAAAGACAGAGGTTGTTCTTCATGCGGTTGAGGCGTTCCTCAGCAGAGATGGGAGAGAACTTGGGGCGGACAGCATCAATCTCCATGGGAGTTGAGCCTGGAGTGGAAGTGGTGAATGAAGATGAGTTGTTGGTACGAGTTGTGGTTTGGAAAGGAGTGACCGACTTGAAGGGTTGGTAAGGCTTGTTGATATTCATGAAGTTGTTGGAAGAATTATTATTTTTGCGACGTTGGAAAAGCAAGTCATCCCAAGTGACTGCAGTGTCCACAAGGGTAGTGAAATCCTTAAAGTTGTTGGGAGTGAGGAGTTTATCCTTCACATCCTCCTTGAGTCCATCAAAGAAGTTTTGACGAAGAGCTGCATCATTCCAAGCTAAATAAGCAGCATGACGTTGGAATTCGGTTGCATAGGAGGTGACTCAACCAGTTTGACGAAGGGACTTGAGTTTATGACGGGAAGTTTCAATGATATTGGAGTCTCCAAAGACCTTTTTGAACTCGGCTTTGAAGTGATTCCAATCCTTGACCCACATGGGTTTCTGCTCCACTGGAAGAAGAAGATGGGGCATGACCCAGCGGTATGCTTCATCCTTGAGTAGGTTGGTGACAAAAGCAATCTTGGATGCTTCAGAGGAATATGTACGAGGTTGGATGTTGAATACCATGTCACACTTGAGCAGGAACTCAGAAGCTTCATCCTTACGTCCAGTGAAGGCTGCAGGACTGGTGATCTTCGGCTCCTTGCTTGTGGTGACAGGTTGGGAAGTGATGGTGATAGCACTGAAGGCAGCTTCAAGTTGTTGAATACGATTTTGCATCTGGAGGAATAGCTCTTCAGGAGTGAACTGAGCTTGGGTACCCTGTTCAGAGCCTAACTGAGTGTTGTGGTGTTGTTCAGGAGACATGATGTGTGGGCTGGATGATAGAAGGGATTATGTTGTTGATATAAGGTGTGTTTTCTGTGGACTGGAGTGGGTGGCAAATCTTTTTATGATCCTTCTTCCTTTATCCAACTCCAATTATACTGTTCTACAGTGGGTGGCAATTTTTTCTCTGGGTGGCAAATCCTTCCTGAGGATGTTTTCTTGGTTGTTTTTGTGATTTCCAGGTTGGTGAAGGAAAGTATTGGTTGAGTAGAGTACAGGGGTACTTGGGGGACTGGGATAGAGCAAGGACAATTGAGTGACCTATGAATACTGTCACGGGCGGGGTCTTATCCCCAAAGGGTAAGCAAGGTGACTGAGATGGGGCTGTAACCCAATACTTGTCTCGGGCTCGTAGAGCTTGAGGAGTATGCAGAGGGTGACAAGGGACTGAGGGAACTGAGGGAACTGAGAGAACTGCAAGATGTCAGGCTGGATCTGACTGGACTGACAAGTTGAGAATGAGATTCAACATGAGATTCATAGGTGGGGAACAACCTGTTTGGAGGGGGTTTATATCCACAGCAAAACAGGCTGAACTGCAAAACTACAACAATAAGCTACGGAAGAACTGCTAAACATATTTGCAATTCTCTTCAAGAGAATTGGCAATCCTGACATGTGAAACTACGAACAATAGGCAAAGGACCCAGGGGTCCAGGGGTAACTGTTACAGGTTCATGTGTGCGACAAGGAACAATAGACAGAGGACACAGGAGTCCAGGGGTAAGTGTGTCAAGCATGTGAACACACAGGGGAACAATAGATTAAGGGCACAGGGGTTCAGGGGTAGGTGTTTCATGTGTGGGAGTGTAAGAGATGACAATAGGGATTGTTGATGGAGATCAAGAACAATAAACCTAAGCCAAAGGGGGTCAGGGGAAGTGTTCCAGATGTGTTTCAGGTGTGGGAACACGGGAAAAGACTATCTTAGGTGGCAAGTAGGTGATGTATGACAGCGGAGGTGAGGAGGTGGACGTAGGGGTTGACGGCGGATAACATTGCACCCAAAGCTTCAAGGGTAGGGTATTCAAGACCATAGGGCAATCCGCGAGCTAGTCGGGCTTGCATCTGTCCAGCGGCAGTGTTGTCTGAGACATATACTTGTAAGAACTGCGACTGTTGACCTGGCATGGGTAAAAGGCTTCCCAGCCAGTGATGGAGCTCGCCTTGGATCTTGAGCACAGGAGGACCAGGAGTACGTGAGATTGGGTCTGTGATTACCCCAAGTGAAGTAAATGCAAAAGCGTTATTATATGTATGAATGTGCTCTCGGAATCGAGCACCTGGAAGGAGGTCTGGGTGTCAGTAACAGACACGTGCTATTCTTTGGACTCACCAGATCCGTGTGATGTGAGCAAATGATGGAGGAAGGATGGTGGAGGAGGGAAAGGCTGCAGATCCACCATGCCAAAACCACAGCAATGAGGATATGGAGTGAGACTACCAGGCGGGGGTCGGCCCCCTTTCTCCGCCTCCCAATGCAATGCTTGGCAGCACGGACAAACATGTGTCAGACCACCAAGATTATGTCTTTCAAGTTGTCCTGGCAGCAAGGGTTGGCGTGCCCATGGCTGGGTTCGATGAACAACAGGGGCTGGAGGACGAAGTGGCAATAAAGTGTGCCCCGGAAAGTTCCCAAAGAAAGGAGAGTCCAAGGCCCCTGGATGTGAGGATGCCAGACGAGTATTAGATACTTCAGCCTCTCTTTGCCTTCGTGTTGCTTGAGCTGATGATCTGGAGTGGGTAGGTGGAGGGGGAATACATAGTCGTCTTTCATCCGCACGTCCGCGGATTTGGGCAGCGCTGCGGCGGGACCGAGGAGGGATAGGGGATGGGGAGAACACCTGCCGTGGACGGGTGGTCCTTGAAGATTGTCGTGGTGGTGGGGGACTTCGTGCCATTTGGTCTATGTGATAATGGAGTGATGCATTTAGATTGAATTGGAGCAAAAAAATTCAATAAGCTGTTATGGCAGTGAGTCTGCGCAATCGGCTAATTCTCCGGCCACGTGGTTTGTCTCGACGTTTGTCTGTGATTTGTGAGTAATACTTATAGATGTACAAAGTCATAACTCCTTCTAGACGGTCCATACACTGTGCAGAGAGGTAGCTAGGAGTGAGCTGATCACAACAATGGTCTTCTCTCATCGCTAGCTACGATAATGATGCATGATAAATAGGTAGAAACGTGATGGAGTGAGGACGATGTAGTCTAGACGATGTGTTTGGTCATTCGGCGCTCCATAGTGGTTCAATTATGCCAAACTGGATAATCCTGACGGAGCTCAAATTAATCCCAACGTAAATTTGGCCATTTCCCACAAATCCCGTCACAACTGGCGAGGATCCCGTCACTACTCACCCAAATCCCTGCACTCCTTCAATATCGAGGATTCTTGAGATGTAAGAGGTGTCACGCCTGCGGGTAGACTGCGGTTGCAAAGTACTGCCTTGGGTACTGAAGGGTTTTAGTCTCTGGCTCGTAGAGCTTGATGACTGCCTTAGGTACTGAGGGTACTGAGGTGTTGGGTGTCACGAGACATACTGACCAGCATATGCACGATATAACAGTGCCCAACGGAACAGTGATCTAAACCACTGCGACGAAAAGGCCTATTAATCGGCGGTTAACTCTACCGCCGATCGCTGGTTAAATACCCTTCCCCGACTTTCGCTCGACTTGTCACACACTTTGTGACATTATGCACTCTCTTGGGCCCCCGCTTTGGGGCCCCGACAAGGGGACCCCGCTTGGGCCCCCACACTTGGGAAGGGTACGATAGACCGAAAACTTACTCCGAGAGGGAGGTTTTCCAAGTAGGGCCTGGGTTACCCCCGGCGCCGTCCGGGGAGTCGAACCCAGGATCCTACCCGCAACCGCCGATTAATCTGTCACGAGACATACTGACCAGCATATGCACGATATAACAGTGCCCAACGGAACAGTGATCTAAACCACTGCGACGAAAAGGCCTATTAATCGGCGGTTAACTCTACCGCTGATCGCTGGTTAAATACCCTTCCCCGACTTTCGCTCGACTTGTCACACACTTTGTGACATTGGGTTAGAACCAACTAGGTGACTTTCAAAGATGAAGTTCAACTTCAAGATGAAGATACATTGCTGAAGAAAGAGGGGGGAGATGTGCTCCTTTTATACCCTTCAAAACTAAAGTAGGTGTACTAAATAAAAAGCGTGTGAGGGATTTTCTAGCCAATCACGTAAATGCCTCAAAGTGAGTGCACCGCGGGAAACTAATTCCAGCCAATCACATAAATGCCTCACTGCTAAACTGCTAAATACCATGACTCATATCTTCCTTCAATCCTTATCACAGTTCCTAGCATGAGTCATATTTCCTTATCACTATTCTGAGCATGAGTCAGAATTCCTTATCACTATTCATGACAAGAGGTGTAGAGTGATCCTAGAGAGTTCAGGATGCATAAAATGCAGAGAGATCAGGTGTATCATGCATATTGACAGCTCCGAAATGTGTCCGAAACGCCCGAAAACGGTCCCAAAGGTGTTACGAAGTGATATTCTGGTCAAAAGGGGGGGATCACATAATCCGAAACAGTTCCGAAAGCCATTGTAGCAGGCTCCCTATGCATGATTCAACTGATCTCTCTGCATTTTATGCATCCTGAACTGTGTAAGATCACTCTACACCTCTTACATCTCAGGAATTCTCAATATTGATGAAGCGCAGGGATCCTCGCCAGTAGTGACGGGATTGTGGGAAATTGCCAAATTTGCGTCGGGATTAATTCGAGCTCTGTCAGGATTATCCCTACGCGCTTCAATTATCCAGAAATTTTGATTCCGTCGGAATCCTCCTTCACCTTTCCTCCTTTTCAAGTCATATGATCATATTGCTCACATGAAATCGACTGGCATGTCCTCCTTCTTCCGAAAAGTGACACTTGGGACTCGAATCCTTCGTCGCGGCTTGGCCACCGCCGTGACAGAAGCACAACTGGTCGCCTCATCGTCTTTGACCGAGGCCGGTACATCCTCCGCACCGGCGACCCAGGCCAAATGGACTCCCTACACGCAACGGACCGGTGCTATAGCGAGAAAGAGAGGAATGATGTCAGTGTGGGATCAGGATGGAAAACGATGGCCTGTGACGGTTTTACAGGTGAGTCTGCAATATTTCGCACATCAGACTACATTCGTTCCACCGGGGCTCGTTTCCTCTGTATCTCCCACCTAGAATCTCACTGCCGACTGGCCGCGTGAGAGAAAATAAGACAAGGCATGTCCGCATTTGAGCCAGTAGGGGTTGCCCATATGGTGTCTGTGAAAGGAGAATGCACGCAATAACGCTCAGATCGATTCTTGCCAAGTCATCCGTCATTCTCCTCCACCAGCAAATAACCACCTTCATTCTCTTCAACTCGGCGCATCTCCTCGAGCTGAACGTACCACTCCTAAACCCTTACTTGGTCACTTCAAATCTGCCGGTGTTCCACCCAAATATCGTCTACAAGAATATCAAGTAACGAGCGATGCTGTGTTACCAGTCGGTACTGAACTCTCTGCAGGACATTTCGTTCCTGGGCAATATGTAGATGTTACGGGTGTTTCGTAAGTGTATTTACATTGTCTAAGGAAATTAAATTGATGGTGATTTAGAATAGGAAAGGGGTTTCAAGGTGTGATGAAGAGACATGGGTTTAGGGGTTTATCAGCTTCACATGGTGTTTCTTTGAAACATCGATCTGGGGGTTCTACGGGTCAGAATCAGGTATGTGTTCTCTTTCATTCGTCATATCATCCGACTTTGGTGCTGTGGGTGTGTGGTCGAGTAGTATCATAGTATGAGAAGAAGTGGGAGTGTGTCTGATGGATGACTAGACCGTCAAGCGTCTTTTAAAGAAGCCTATGCTGACATACAGGATCCAGGTCGTGTCATACCTGGAAAGAAAATGGCAGGTCATATGGGTGTCGATAAATGTACAGTCCAAAATCTCCTCGTACATCATGTCGACCTAGCCCTCAATGTCATATACGTCCGTGGCTGTGTCCCAGGGACGGATGATTCTTTCGTTTCTGTACGTGACGCGAAGAAAAAGGTGAATTGGAGAGGTCAAAAAGGTTTACGAAGGGGTTTAGACGAACATAAATGGTTAGGTGAAGGAGTCACAAGTCTTCCTACTCCTGCAGGTACCAAAGAACGAGTTGAGAAAGAAGGATGGCCCGTGGTGTCAGATTGGGCAGGAAGAAGCGTTCATGGTTAGGTGGATTTGATCTTCCTCCTTTCTCCTTTCTCCTCACATCGACTGCTCGGTGTATATCTCATGCATTTTATACATTCATACAGTCGTTACGTCATAATTTCGATCCATCTCGGAACTTTTGCCGTCTGTTTGATAGTTTTGATACTGCTGCTTCCTTTGCGGATAATCTAGCTTCGTATGCTTTCCGTCCGAAAAAGTTGTAGATGGCCCTGTCCGGTGTGGCCGTAGCGGAACTCGCTTGTCCTAGAGCAGCACGAGCCGCGATCCCCTGTGCGATGACTGCAAGGCGGAAGAGGATCCACGAACGCACCCATCTAACGATCAGCTATAATCACGCTGACAAACAGAGCAAGATCACTTACTCCATGAACGGAATAGGCCACTCCCACAGACTCTCTTGAGCCACATCCTCACCTCTTACACGAGCTTGCTCGACAGAATACTTGTTCATCCCTTCTACCCACCACCTTTCTATATTTTCTCTCTGGGGCAGACCACTCTCTTGTGTAGAAAGCCCCTCGAGACCTATCAACAAGCCTGATAGTTGACCCCCATCACTATCCCCTCTCTTACTGTTGGAGGTGAGTGCGGATCGTTCTTCCTCTGTCATGGGAGGAAAGGAGAAAGGCAGTAGAAGATGACCTAGATCTGCAAGTGGGGAACCAAGAGTACAGAGTTCCCAATCTATGACGCCGATCACCCTATTCTCGATGGGATGGAAAATCTGACTTGTCAACTTCCTTGGTACTCACAAAGCCCAACATGCCATGCCGACGATCCCACTCCATACTTGGCAGTTACAAACGATCCATTCATCATCAGCCTTGAGAATATATTCTCCAATCCGTCCGTGGATCAGGTTTTCAACAGAAAAAAGTAAAGTAAAAGCGATCCTCACCAAGTTATCCCATTTGAAATCCCCATGTACCAGACTCGCAACTCCTCTCATCCTCTCTTGCACTCCTCTTCGTTCCGCCCCAGCGGTGAACCAATCCTTCATCTCTCCCGTATAGTCAATCTGACCCAGTGTACCTCCTTGCCATGATGTTGCTGACTGAGTATCCGAGACTTTTAGCCAAGCTCTTACTTGTCGTGGGAAATAGGGTTTCTCTAATGGATCAGGAGCGAAGGAAGATGGTAGATTCAGTGAGGCTAACGGGATGGTAGAAAGTCGAGTAAGAGTATCAATGGCACTTCTCCAACTGGTGCTCAGTAAGCCTCCTTGCCCAACACCCCATCCCAATGCCAAATTGCTCCACATGAATACTACAGCCCAATCTTGGCGTCCCCAAGAATTCTTTGATCCTCCGATCGGAATCTCTCGGTGGGAGGGAGAGGGGGGGGGGGGGGGGGGGGGGGGGCAAGAGTTTTGATAGGAATCAGAGGAAAGAGATGCACCGACCATTCTTTACGATCTTGTCGGGAAAGAGAAGTCATACGAACATCTTCGAATATTCTTCCCTCTATAAACTCCATAACGAAGAACATGGCCCCAATCACTTCCTTGTCCACACATAGACAATAGACTTTGGGAATAGGGATCCTTAAATCTTCCTTTTCACAGGGAAGAGAGTCGTTATACTCATTCAGATGGGACAGGATCAAGTATTCTCTATCGATCCGATGTGCAGTAGGGGAGAGCAAAGGACCAGAAGGGGCACGTCGGAGGACATAGTGACCAGAAGGTGAGGTGAGGATGTAAGTCGGATTGGACTATTATGAATAATCACTCATAATATTCGGAAGAGATAGACATACTTGTCCAAACTACTATTCAGCTTACCCACAGGATCACTGGGTGCACCAGGAGACAATGAGTTTGAGGGTATGGACGTACGTTGAACTGCTCAATTTGAACCGGGCTTCTGAACCCTGAAATGTGACTTTCGAGATATGGAACGAGACGGTCAAGATGGAGGGAAGTACGAACTTTGCCTCTTTCTTGTCCTTGCGAGTGGGAGCTCATGAAGAGTTGAAGGGATAGAAAAGTCGGGGTCGTTAAAATCACCTGCAGGTTGCTGAATTTACTATACGAAGGATCGGGATCCCGTTCGGTTACATCTGTAGCCGGTTGTCCAAACTTCATGGTAACATGGTCATCGAGACTTGTGAAGGGTGAGATTCTAGAGTGATGCATATATGGAGAGGAGATGCACAATGCGAGATACTGTCTACTACTGGCTACAAGTCTTTTGATCCACAATGCTGATGAAGAATACAGATATATGGATTGAGTGGAGATATGAAATTGACAAGATTGTGACACAGCCCGATTCCTCAAGCGACAGGTGATTGTAAGACGACCCCCTCCTCCGTTCTTTTACCCCTCATCCTAATCCACAGTGGCCGATTCCCAACATACAGCACCATGGAAGGTATACCTGACACACAAACCCCGAAACAAAACCTCTTTGTCAGCTCGAACCACAGATGCAAATACATGGTAGACTCACCAAGACACAGCTACCCAACCGTTCGATGCGTGATCATACAATTGTCCACCGACAACAGCACCGACGGATGTTGAAATGGCTATTAATTAGTCATGTTTTTATGCTGATTGTCAAGAGAACTGACCAAATGCTATGTTCATCCCTGCAAACTGATGTATCTCTCCTATACCGGGCTCGTTATCAGCTCACTCGCCCAGGCCGACTCGCAGGAAGAGCTTACCATATCTTTTGCCACGAGAGATAATTCAAGACTCACAGGACCGAGTGCGCAGTTCAGGAAAAGGTCTATATGATCAGTATCTAGGAAGCAAATTCAACATTCTCGAAGAAGAAGAATGTTCGGGGCAGGAACGAGCATGATGAGAGTTAGGATTCGCGGGAATGACAAGACAAGGAGGAGGACTCACTACCAAGAGCGAAGAAGATGATAAATCCCGCCAAACTATTGTTGAGGATCAAAAGTGGGAACCACGGTAGTGTTAATAACATGGATGGAGCCACAAACCATTCGGACCCGTATTTATCTGCTACATGTCCTATTATGGGACCAGCGGCGAAAGTAGGAGCAGCAGCAGCGACTGTATGTGAGTAAAGTGACATCAATTACAATTGGAGATTAGAGTACACTAACGATAGATGAGTCCTACAAACGCGGATGATTTACCCCATACGGATTCCACTCGAAGAGTGAGCCTACAAATAAGCGATAGGTTCTCTAAAGAAAGTGAAGAGAAGACATACGTAGGATCCAGAGCACCAACCACGAGACCGAAAGCAAAAGTCGCAAGAAAACTTGTGGTTCCTCTTGGATTGACGGTCAGAGCTTTAACGACCTGCCAAGGATTTAAGAGGATTTCTGATGATACTTCATCCCTATTCCTCTCATTTATTGGTTCTGCCACTCTAGCAGGGTTCTGTGTGACATCGGTCGGACTATTAGGAGTGGATACGGTCTGATTATGTGATCCATCTTCAATCGGATGAAGAGACACTATTTTATCCTGATTTTGTGCAAGGACCGTTGATTCTGTCGTTTCATGTGGTCCCCTTTCACCGTCACCTTCGACTTCTGAAGGTATGAAAGGTTTTTGATTTGTAATCGTTCTCGGTTCATCTCTCCTTAGATCTTTTTGTTCGACGACTAATAATCTAGCGATCAAATCCGCTCCAGAGATGATGATACAAAAAACGAATGGTGCCTTCCAGCCAAGACTGGAATATAGCGCTCCGCCAATCGGAGGAGCGATAGTGGATCCCACACTGACTCCTGAAACCGCGAATCCGAGTTGTCTTCCAATATGTTTCTTGGGAACATTCTCGATACTACAATCAGCCCTCATACTTTTCTGTACAGTATACCATCGTGTGACATCGATGTCATTACTCACATTAGACTGAGTCCGACTGAAGTTGTCAGTTAGATTTCACATATGTGGCAAAGGTGTAACGTACCGAGCCAAACAACGGCACTAGAGACTCCTTGTAGAAAACGAGAAATCACCATAACCCAAAAAGGTTTGACTAGTATGAACAACACAAAAGAGCCTTCAAGTACAAGAACAGCGACAATAAGAGGTATTCGACGATAAGGATATATATGGAAGAAATAAGCTACAGGTAAACTTGCTGTTAAGTTAGCGCATATTCTCCACTTCCTCTGTTAAACTTTTCCCACCAACATCTAATGAGAGAATCTGTCCCAGGAGGAGATCAGGCGAAAAGATCTTTCAATGTGAATACGTGAACGATGCTCACCCAGAAAGATACCGAAGGAATATGCGAACAATAACCAAGAAGTGAGTGTGGAAACATTGTTGTAATGTAATTCTTGTAATCGGTAGGGTACGATAGGAACGACAATAGTCTACTGCATCAGACTCTCATCTTTCTCCATTTAGCAGAGATGAGATCAGGTCGTAGATGATGAAGGACGTACGTAAGCAAGTAGATCAGTTGTGATACCCACCGCAACGACTACAAATCAGCTTTTCTTCTTTACAAAAGTTCAAAAAGAGTGATAAAGACATACCAGTGGTTATATACCAAGTTGAACTTCTCCACTATTACAATTAGCGTTTGTCATCAGTTACGTTATTAGTCCTTTTGAGAGGTGACTCACTTTCGCCCCCATAGGTGCTCTCGAGGATCTCGCCTCTCTACTCTGATTTTTACAATTGCCCAAGGTGGGAAAAGCCAGATCATGTGGACAAAGACGGCGTATGAGACTACTCATGCTATTTTCTCACTATGGAATGGAAAATAATGCTACCCAGGTAGGGTCCTTCGGTCCGGAACCCACGATTACGGGCAAGCCTCAGTCGGGGAACACAAGAGAGATTTCCTCCGATGATGGATGGTTGTGTGGATTACAGCAACTGAACGTTTGGAGGATGCTGCAATACGGTCCTGCACTATAGTATGATTAGACACAGTCGTGTGGAAGACGTATACAAGTGTACACATGGCCGAATGAAAGGAAAGTCGTCTCTCCGACTTGATCGGCGATTCCAATGCCGATTTCAACTCCGAAGTGCCGCCCTGAAACAAATCGTACAATTACTCGGATTTACGTGAAACAGCATGAATTAGCAGATTAGATACTAAAACGGTCAAGGAATGTCCCATGTATGCATCAACCCGCCCAGCGGTGTATTAGACCTACTTACTTCCTATCACCAATCCGTGAATTCCAGCTCCTATCAAAACTTTCATCCATCAAAATGCCTGACCGTGATTCTCTTCGGTATCACTCTCCGGTGCATCTCTTTCACTCCTATTCATCACCCTCAACATATTACCCCTACCCATCTGAGCCGCATGAGGCGCCATCGGAAGACCTGAACCCTGACGGGCGTCGTGTGACACCGGTATGGAAGAGCTCAACTCGTGATTCGAGGAGCTATCGATTCCGTGGTGTGACACGCCCCTTCGAGGGACTCCGGCGAGCTGTCGGCTGTGAGACTGATTCGAGTTTCTTGGGAGATATGGGAGTACTCCATGGTTTCTGGGTCCATAATTTATAGTCGGAGGATTAGAAGAATTGAAGTTGAGAGGAGGTAAATGAGGTGCGGTACTTGACATCGTAGATATTGTCGAGGGGGAAGGAGAGACAGGTAGTGGGACTTGTGAAGGAGATGCTGAACGTTGTGGATATTGCCCCATAGGTTCAGGTTGAAGAGTAGGTGCGTGATATTGTGGCATTGGGGCAGGACGTGGTTGATCGAACTGACCCGGATTATGGTCGACTTGGGCGTGGTTATGAGAACGAAGCGCCGCTGAAGGTGAGATAGATCGGAATGCAGGACGTTCAGCTAATTGATTCTGTAACATATTCCAGTCCAAGGATTCGTCCGTATCTGGAGCGGCGGTGGGCATGGTAGGCATATCAGGGAAGACAGCAGGGGCAGAAGGTCGATTGGAAGGGGTGGCGGGTGCGGTAGGAGGTTGAACAAAGAATGAAGGGACCAAAGATTGTTGTCCGTCATTCACTGGAGAACCTTGTTCTTCGTTCAATGTGATGAGTGGCATCGGCATTGGCATTGACATTGTAGATGCCACGGCGGCCGACTGCTGATCTTGGTCGTAGAGGAATTGAGGTGGAGAACCGGTAGCTGAGAAAGATGAGCTGCGCCTCTTCTCCCTAGCGTGGGGTTCTTCACGTCTCGATTCGTCTAATTTACCAAGACCAAAGTCGATTTCTTCCCAATTGATCGCCTTATTCTTCGCACTACCCCCAGCCTTGACCATCTCCCGGTCAGTGAATGGATTCGAGTCGGTGGAATGATTTGAGCCACGGGTAGACACACGCTTAATGACTGACATGACCCCGGACGTAATGTCAGTCATAAGGTTGCCTTCTTTCTCGTTGGCATCTCGTCCAAAACCGTATTCCGTCTTTGTGGGTCTCGAAGGGCCGACGTCACGAGAGAAGTCGCCGTTGTCTTCCTGTAAGGAGAAGGAGTAGTATCGAGCAGCTCGACGTTTACGAATGATTCGAATTTGACGACGAGCATACCAGATGGCAAGACCGATCAATAAAGCACCAATAACGGCGACTGGAGCAGCTATGGACGCCGTCTTCTTCTCGTCCATTGTCTGTCCTTTAGAAGTCTTGGGAGAAGTGGTGAGGTTGAGCATGCTTTCCTGCCAAGTCGAACTCCAAGCCCAGTCTGAGCCGGTCGGGTCACGCATGTCGAGGTAAGCAACATTCGAGGTTGCCACACCGGATGAACCGAGACCAAAAGCAGTGATCATGACACCAGAATTGGTGATGATGGCCGTGTGATAGGAAGACGCGGATGAGGAGAGAGGTTGAAGGTTTGAAGGGGTAGACCATTCCCAGCTGGTCGTGTTGAGAAGGGCGACCAGTGAAGTAGGGGTATCCGAAGTACCATTCGCTACCGAGCCTCCATAGAGGATCCTGGATGCGTCAGCGAGTGGAAATATATATGAGACAAAGATCGGCTAACAATAAGTCCAAAGTTGGGTGAACCACAAGGGAAGCGCCAATCCTGCCGTCTGGCACATCACCGGAAGTGACTTGAGACGTCCAGCCAGAACTAGCACTCCATTTCCCAATAGTATCGAGAGATACCAAATCACCCGTGGCTGACTGTCCACCAGCCAGGTAGATGTGACCACAGGAACACAAAGCCATAGCGAAATCAGACACGGCTAGCGTGGAGCCAGTGAGGGAGCTCGGAAGATTCGCCGAGGCAATGTGTGAACCTGTGGTGAGGGGATATGAGAGTATATCTAGGGCGGAATAAGCTGCAGTTGTCGACGCTATGATGTCAGCTTGACCCCCCGGCACGATGGATACTCACAGCAAGAGTAGCTATCAGCTATCCCACCCACGACCATGACCTGGGAATCACTGGCCCATCCCATCGATGCACCTCTCCGTCGGATGACTCCTGAAGGGGTCACACTAGTCCATTTGCCAGAACTGACATCCAACGTATGAACGAGTCCATCGTTTGAACAACTGGAAGTCATTCCACCAAATACAACGATGGACGAGCCGTCGGATCTGGCGGACATGGCGGCGAAAGCATGGGGAGGGAGTCCATCACTCGAACCTGTCGAGAATGTCGGATTACTCTGGTTAAGCTGCAAAGTCAGCTCATCCCGAATATGAAGTAGAGGTCTTACGGGAAGGATGAGGACCTCGTTGGTGATCTGAGTTCCGGATCCTTGAACTTCACCACCGACGACCCACATCGCATTTTGTGAAGGAAGATAGACCGCTTGGTGACCCCATCTCGCCACAGGATCAGCGGCGAATACGAGTTTCAAGAGAGTAGATGCGACTATAGCTCGTCTCATCGTGTTGATGCCTTGTGGGCTCTTCAGAAAGGAATGGAAGCCTCGTCGAAAGGTGAGAGCTGACCAGCAGCTGACTCTGAAAGAAAGATTTGAGGTTAGCTGTCAAGAAGTGACGAGTCAAGATGAAAGAACAGAGACGTCAGAATACCGAGTGGGGCATGCTTTCAGGGTTAGTCAAGAAAGCTGCGAAGAAGAAAGTCAGCCATTCCACTGGTTGGGACATGTTGCAACGTTCACAACCTTCCAGATGGCTGGCATCCTCCAAACCCCCGAGGGATATATCTCTGGGATATTTATCTGGTATTTATCCCATCCCACCTTTGGTCACGTGACTTCCTCGTGGCGAGAAGAACTTTCAGATTCGAGTTGGAAGATCACTTTTTTCCCATCTCGAACCACTCCTTATACCTCTCCCCTTGATCACAACAGATCAACCCGATTGATTACCTTGCTTTTCCAAGCTCACACTTTTACAAACATCTACAGCTTCCCTCTGCCAGCGCGAAGTCTTCTCTCTCGCCATGGTCGACGCTCCCATTGATGTCAAAGTGGAACCCGAGATCATCCCTAAGGAAGAACCGGGCCTCTCCACGGAATCCACAGCTACTGCTGAAGCTTCCTCAGCCACCTCCTTTACCGATGAGAAGAAGACTGATATTGGTCCTCCACCCACCGTCGAAGGCAAGAGCTCGGAAGAGGTTCAGACCCTTCTCTTCAAAGCAGCCAAACAGGGTGAGTTTTGATCACTCCTCCGACATGTATCTCACACCGGCTGACGCACAGTCTATTTCTACTTTTCCGACTCAAACCTTCCGGTGGACAAATTCTTCTTCTCCCTCACCATGTGCAACCCAGAAGGTTGGGTGCCAATCAAGACCATCATCAGCTTCAAACGCATGCGAGACTATCTACCATATGGCGTGCCGTTCGTGGCATATGCGTTGAGGCAAGCAGCTGCAAGAGAAGGGAAAGCTCCCTTGATAGCTGTCAGTGAGGACGGGGAGAATGTCAGGAGGAAAGCGCCACTGGAGCCGGTCTCGAGCGGGTTTACGAGATCCGCCTATATTGTCAGTTCTCACCTACATCGTCACGTTCACCAGCTGACCAGGGGCGTAGAAAGGCTTCGGCGAAGGAGATACAGATGAGAACACCCAAGAAAAGATCGAGGAATACTGTGAGCAGTTTGGGGCCATCAATGCGGTCCGCAAGAGGCGTGAGGATGTTGGGGACGCACCCGGTGGGAAGGGGAAGGGTAAATTCAAGGTGAGTCAAGTTGATCATTCATGACAACTGGACTGACAAACATAGGGCTCGGTTTTCGTGGAATTCACGTACAAGGCGGATCTCGAGGCGTTCTTGAACAAAGAAAGTCTGCCCAAATTCCTCCCTGATGGTCCTGATATGTTGTTTATGAGCAAGTGAGTGCAGATCGGGAATGTCGATCGACTTGGACTCACTTCCCAGGGAGGCCTACACCAAAATGAAAGCCAAAGAAAAGGGCATTCCAGAGAGTGAGATCCATACCAACCGGAAGCAAGGCAAGTCCACCGGTGGAGGAAAGTTCAACGCTTTTAGAGAACTGGAAAAGATGAAAAAAGGCGAGTCGCCAAATCTGGCCAAAATCCGAGAGGGAACAGCGGTGGTCGGGTCGCCGTTGGTAGCCGGCGCGGATGGAAAAGGCGCGAAGAAGCGTGGTCGGGAAGAGGACGATCAGAGTGAACAACCTGCCAAGGCTGTGAAACAAGAAGTAAAGACTCTCTACTCGTGTGTGGAAAGCATGGCTGATGATGTACAGCCGAGAACATATACGATCACGTACAATGGCGTGGAACTCGAGTGTGATCTGGCCACTGGCACTGTCATCGACACGGACAAGATAGCATTCAAAAACAACTCGTCCATCAAATTTCCAAGCGGAGGTGAAGGTGCCGATTGGAAGAAACTTAAAGTGAGATGTTGTCATTCTTTCTCATGTGGCCTGAATGCTGATCATATAGGACTTGATCACCGAAAACGGTATACCTGAGCCTTTCCTCGCTTATCCTCCTGGTGCCAAAGGCGGTACTGTAGCAAAGAAGAGCGGGGATGTCATTACAGAAGACGAGTTAAAGCGGCTCAACGACGCAAAGCTTCCCTTCGGAGATATCACTGTGGAGTTCACATATATGACCGGTACGTGACTTGACTATGTCCACTGCGTGTATCGCGGTATGGGGACGGGAATTTGCTGACACCACTTAGAGGACGAACAGCGAGCTTTCTGGACCACTCGAGTAGCTTTCGCCTCTGGTGCCGCTGCCAGGAGGATCAGGGAAGAAGATCAGAGCAGGGGTAGTCATCGAGAGCATCGTGGCGGTCGGGGCGGCAGAGGCGGCCGAGGTCGTGGAGGCAGAGGTGGTCGGGGTGGTAACCGTGGTGGAAGAGACAGGGGTGATAGATCTGGAGGGGATGCGACTGGAGCATCTCAACTTCCCCCTGTCGTCAAGGCCGCGGCGGAGATATAGATATCTAAGGGGACTTGGTGGAGACATGCATCAGCATATATTCGACTCGGTGGAGCAGAGTGATCGTCTGTCCTCCCTCTGCCCATCAAATGCTCCAGAACCGCAGTATAGATAGGACTAGGACTAAGGGCACCCATGGCAAGAAAACGAATTGAAAACGATAAGTCAGGTGCACTTGAGCCTGTAACCCAACGGACCACGAATGATATCCTCCCAGCCTCCATAGCCCCCTAAGCGCTCAAACCCCCTATGTAACCCCCTAAAGGTAATCTATCAATTCCACCTCCACCGGGGGTGACAATACATGATTCACACCTGATAGGCATGCTACATGCTACAGGCTATACTTAACTAAGTACACCTGCCATGGCACGATGTCACGTGGGCAATCATCCTTCCTTCTCCATCCACTTTCACCTCACCTGCTCCATTTATATCAGTTGACAACCTTTCTCACGTCAATCAGCGTGAGCCGAAGGGGTGGTATGTGTCAGCCCCTTGCTTAGACTGAGTTCTGTTTCGGGGCCACAAAGGACCACAATCAGCTACTGATACTCCGCCCGTCGAAGACCCCGAGCGAACACGTCAAATAGGAGGGCTCCGTAGCCTACCGTAAGTTGGAAATCCCTTCTCTCGTTCTCATTCATTTCTTCTTTCTATCAGTACCAATCATGGGCATCCCGTTTTGGAGACCTTCTCCAGCGCCTTCACACCCCTTCAAGGGAATCGATTGGCCCGAGACAAATGCCAATGTCTTAAACAAGTTCCTCTTCATCTGGGCGGGACCAGTACTCAAGGTAGGGTACTCGAGACCTCTACAGATTGATGGTGAGAATGCTATCAACTCCGTAGATGTTTTGGCTCATGTGACAGACCTGTATGACTGCCCGACTATCTACTCGCTCCAAAAGTTGATTTTTGAAGACTTTGATCGTGACTACGGCTTACCTGCAGCTTGCTGACGAGATCGAAGCCAGTTTTGCAAAACGACTCCCCCCTTCCGGTCGTCCACCTGACTATCGTGATACTAAAGTATTGACCACTGATCATCACCTCGATACTGAAACAACCCCATTACTCAATGTATCTAATAGCGACGCCCAAGAGTTGGAACCGACTCTTGTCAAGCGATTTGATAAGAAAACCGCTCGAAAGATTATCGAGGGCACCGTGGCTTTTGAGGATGGAAAACTTTACGACAAATCTCTATCGAAAGCCATCGTTGCCAAGGTTTGGCCATGGCTAGCCCAGCTCGTTTTTGTAAATTTCTTGGGCCGTGAGTTCACCTTCGACATCCCTTTACTTCGATGATTTAGTGTGAGATATAGACAGCTGAGATGACTAGAGATGCTACGTGTCACCGCACCTTTACTCACCCGCCAGATTCTACTGGAAATCACAAGGGCTCATGCTACTCAAACGACCAACAAAGGCTCAAATCTCTCTGTCCCGATTGAGCCCCCACGATTGTGGCTTGGCATCTCTCTTTCAGTGCTCTTGCTCTTCTGGCAATCAATCGGAAGTCTTTGCCTCATCAACACCGCCGGACGCTCGTCAACGCTTGGCGTCACGATAGGCTCTGCGGTGAGTGTAGTCGATCTGATATCGAGTCATCGCTGATCGTGCAGCTGATGGATCTCATTTCCCGCAAGACTATGTAAATATCATTGAGCTCCCCTTCTTTGACCAGAGTCAGTAGATCACTAATATACGAAAGGCGTCTCTCGGCTAAATCTCGAACACAACATACCAATGGTCGTTTGCTCACTTTATTCTCCTCGGACGCTGCCACAATGGTCAGTCATGGACTTTCACATATGTGCTTCATAGGACTAACATTTCTTAGGGCAACAAAGTGGGTTATGTCCTCTCGGCATTTTCCCAGCCTCCACAGGTGTGTATGGGACTGGGACTCGTCTTATGGCTTTTGGGTCCCACCGCCTTGGTTGGCGTAGCAGTAAGCCGATGCTTTTGAATGATATTATTCGTAGCAGCTAAATCACAGGTGCTGGCCGTGATAGGGCCTCTGCAAGGTGAGATAATATCTTTCACTCGGTGACGTCGCACTGACTAATAGCTTGGGGATTGAAACGCCTTCTTGGACTACGCCGACAACAAGAAGCTGCCGTCGATAGACGAAATAGGCTTCTATCTGAAGTCATCACCAACATACGAGCCGTCAAGGTGTATGCTTGGGAGGCTATCTTCGGACACAGAATCTCGGAAATGCGAAAGGTGGAAATAGCTTACCTTCGACGGTACTCTCTTTATCGATCTGCGGTAGTGGCTTTATCCGCAATAGCTCCTGTCGCCGCTTCGGTCCGTGAGTTCTTCGTTATCACAAAGCTGATCCACGCTGATTGCATGAGTCACCTTCATTGCTTATGCACTGGCTGGAAACAAACTCGACCCAGTGGTAGTATTCACAGCCCTGCATCTGTACATCGCTCTGCAACGGCCTGTAATGGTGTTACCGAAGAGTTTTGCAGCAATTCTTGATCTTAAAGTCAGCATTGGTGAGCCATTATCTCCTTGAGATTTCACAGCACTTATACTGCAGAGCGCATCGGTCTGACACTCGCTGCTGAGGAACTTGTTCATGACATTGTCATTGATCCTACTGCTTTACCTGCTATCGATGTCGAAGGACAATTCCAATTTGATGAGGTGGCACCACACGAACGAGAGCAGACCAGGAATCAGAATGACTCGCCGGAGTTGTTTGACCAAACCCCCATCCTGGCATCTAAACAACCATTTGCCCTTCGTGGGTTGGACTTGAAGATCCCTCAGGGTAAGCAAAGATCATGAGTTGGCTCAAAGATCTGCTGATACACAGGTGCCCTTGTGTGTATCGTGGGAAGGGTAGGGACCGGCAAAAGTGCTTTACTCACGGGACTCATCAACGAAATTCGCCAAACTCATGGTCATGTAATTTTCAATGGTCAGGTATCTTACGGTATGTGACAGTAAATCTTCGCGCCTTTACAAGCTGACAAAAAGTACCACAGGAAGCATGGGTACAAAGTGGTACTGTCCGCGACAACATCACCTTCTCCTCCGAGACTGTTGATATCGATTTTGACCGTGTTGATCAAGTGATTGATGCTTGCGGGCTCCGTTTCGACCTCGAGCAATGGGCAGAAGGTGATCTGTGAGTGACTGATTTAGTAATTCGAGGAATTCATACTAATCTGCAGAACTCAAATTGGCGAGCGTGGTATCACCCTATCAGGCGGACAGAGACAAAGGATATGTCTGGCCCGCGCTGCCTACGCCTCTTCCTCAATCGTACTCCTTGATGATCCCTTGTCAGCAGTCGATGCTCACATTGGACATCACTTGCTGGAAAACCTCATCATGAACGGCCCTCTCGCCAATCGTACTAGGGTTTTGGTCACTCATAATCTTGAGGTTCTTCCCCACGCCGACATGATCCTGGTCATGGATCGAGACGAGTTTGGTGATGGACGTATTGTTCAGCAAGGATCTTATGAGGTATGTTTGGTTCAGAGGTGTTCGACGGCCCTCAATGCTGATCCGTCACAGGAATTACGACAAACAGAAGGGATCTTTCGCAACCTGGTCGACGAATTTGGCTCCGCGTCCCAACGACAGGCCGATACGGCCTCGCCTTCCGAAGAGCAAGAGGTCTCGACAGGCGAGAAATCCCGGCAACCCACTGATGTATCCAAGGGTCCAGAGACTAGCACTAAGCTTATGCTGGACGAGGAAAGAAATGTCGGTACCGTCTCCTGGTCTTGCTATCTTTATTGGGTGTCTTCCATTAAGAGCTGGCCATGGGTGTCGACTGCTTTGTCGGCCCTTCTTCTGGAACAGGCTATTTCCGTCATGGTCAGCCTGTGGCTCGGGTTTTGGAGCAATGGGCAAATTCAGTCCTTTACGCAACGGCAATACGTGAGTGTCTATGGCGGTGAGTTCGCTTTCAACGGACGAGGCCATCAAGTCAGCTGACAAGTTTAGCCTTGGGCTTAGGCTTGGCTATTTGCATGGTGAGTTTATTTCGCGCAAGAGGTCGAGAGATCCCTTACTCTGTCCAGGCGACCGGATGGTACTCTATGCTCTATTGTGGGACCCGAGCCAGTCTTGACATGTTCAATGGTGCTTGGAATAATGTCATGCGGACTTCTGTAGGATGGCATGATCGCACCCCAGTGAGTACTTTTGAGATATGGAGGACCTCTGACTGATGTGTACCAGGCCGGACGCATCATGAACCGTCTGACCAAGGGTGAGTGCCATTCGTTGCTATCAGATGACTATGTTCTGATCACGTCAGACGTGTCCAACTTGGACACTGACGTGCCTGCCACAGTCCATGCACTGATGACGTGAGTACTCCGAACGATGATTTTGGAGAGATGCTGATTCAGAGTGTTATTCTCAGTTTCTTTGGCACAATGTTTCTGGTCGCCTTGATCTATCCCGCTTTGGTGGTCATATTTGTTCCCGTTATAATAATAGACGTTTGCCCCTTTCTGAATTCCGATTGGTTGTCGCTAATTTCTAGTATCTGGCTTTGACTTACTACCGCCAAACCTCGCGCGAACTGAAGAGAATCCACGCGAACGCCCGCAGTGAAGTATTCACGACTTTCAGCGAGCAAATTTCCGGATTGTCAGTCATCCGAGCATTTGGAAGGCAGAACAGATTTAAAGGTCGATTTCAGGAAGCGGTCGTCACAGAGAATGTGAGTGTTCCATGGGCTGCAATATATATATGAGTATTGTACCACTGACAGGCTCCAGAAAGCTCAAGTGCATTCAGTGAGTTGTTTGCTTATCCACGCTGAATCAGAGGCTGACTCCCAATTAGTACCTTGTCCCGCGGTAAGGCACTCTGATGGGCTTTTGCAAGCAGCTGACGATTCTTCCAGGTGCATCGGTCCCAAGTTGGTAGTTTCATGCCAATTCCTTGTCATGGTTCGTTCATTGCTGTCACTCTCAAGCCTAGGGCTGACCCATAGTCAATTGCCTTGTTCGGTGTGCTTTCCGGGGACCGAGTCAATGCCGCCCAGGTTGGCGCCGTCCTCGTATACGTGATCGGTATGACATCCAGTGAGTGTCTCTTCTCACTCCCAGATGATTAGCTCATATCACAGCCCTAAGTGGTGTCGTCGATGCCGTCGCAAAGATAGAGACGGACATGGTATGTGGCCAGCCTCTTACCTCCTCCCCGACTCTCTCATAGCAAGCATGTCGCTCCCAGGTCCCCATCATCTGTGGGCTAGATTGACAACGAGGTTCAGTTACTGAATAGCTACTGATGCACAGAACAACGTGGAGCGTATCAAATACTATAATGAGCTAGAGCTCGAAGCTCCACCTCGTCTACCTTCCGACCCCCCAACCTCTTGGCCTTCGAAGGGAGAAGTCCAGTTCGACCACGCGTCTCTTCGTTACCGCCCCGAGCTCCCTATGATCCTCAAAGAAGTCAGCTTTACTGTTCGTCCGGGTGAAAAAGTTGGTATTGTTGGGCGAACAGGAGCGGGTAAGAGTAGTCTTGCTCAAGCCCTTTTCCGCACTGTAGAGCTGGTCGGAGGGACTATCAGGGTAGACGGAGTTGATATTCGTCACGTTGGGCTTGACACTGTCAGTTTTTCCACTCTCCACACTTATTTTCTGCTGCTGATTGGACAGCTTCGAGGTCAATTGGGTATCATCCCTCAAGACGCTTTCCTCTTTGGTGGTTCTGTTCGGTGAGAATGTGTCCTCCGAAGTGACAGTGAAGCTGACATTGATTTAAAGAGATAACCTCGATCCAGGAGGAGATCGAACTGATCAGGAACTTAACTCGGCATTGGAGTTGATACATTCTAGCGCATCTGCTAGCTCTACCCTCAGGGAGAAGTTCAGATTGGACGCTGAGGTCTTAGATGGAGGTGCTAACTTTTCTGCAGGGGAGAAGCAGCTTCGTACGTATTTATCTTCTCTCTGGTATCAGTAACGACATCTGATGACATTGCTGATGAACAGTCGCCTTGATGAGAGCACTAGTCCGAGGTTGTCGTGTACTTCTTTTGGATGAAGCTACGTCTTCAGTGGATCCTGAGACAGACGCTCTTATTCAGCGCATCATCCAGACGTCTTTCTCAGATGTGACGGTGAGGCATTGTTCATCGTCACGCATGTCACTTGCTTATTGACCTCTTAGCTCATCTCAATCGCTCATAGACTGCAGACGGTGGCGTTCTACGATCGGATCTTAGTTCTTGAGCATGGCGAGGTGACCGAGGTCAGTCCATTGCATACCTCATGCAGAGAGTGCTCACGGGACAGTTCGACACCCCTCTGCACCTTTTCGACCGATCTGATGGGATATTCCGAGGGTTGTGTGAGAAAAAGGTGAGTACTCAGCCTTTTTCTTCTTTATTCTCCTACTGACTCTCCCTCACTGTTGTGGACAGGTGTAGGATCAATCGCTCACACACTCACAGGGACTGACTCGAGCCGACCTGGTCAAAATTCGAGAAGATGCTTCTCAAGCACGGCAAACCGATATTGACCTCTTACTTTGACCACACTGAATCCTACCTGATATCGCGCTCAACGCATTTTCCATCTCACATTCTCCACCAACTTCTCATTTCTCATCGCTCATCTTTCCGGCGTTGGACAGTCATCATCAGCTTGTAAACAAACGTCTGCGCCCCGTCTAATAGTATTCATGCATGTGTACATCCTATGAAGACCGTCCTTGTAGAGATCTCCACTAATTACCCGCCCGCGGGGGTCCGTCATATGCTACATCTCCTCATGGCTGATCCCGCCTCTCGGTGGCCAATCTTCGTCCCATATATTGGGTGTACTTTCCCTCTCTGAAAGTATGTCGGGGTTGTCGTTCTCGTACATGTCATGTCATGATCCCTGTCTACTCGTATACTTCACGCTCTGTGACAGTGTATCTTACCTCACATGATCAGACAACCGTCGTTCCTCCCACTGGATTTGTTGAGCATTCGTTCTTCTTTCAGAGCCTCCATCTCTAGTTTTCTGTCGAGCACTTTGGACCCACCACGAGGATCGGATGTGAGACGTTTTTGAGCTCGACGATCGCCATTCTCCGCTGCCATTTTGTACCATTTGATGGCTGCTTGTGGGTCGGCATCGGTCCCTATGCCGGTCTGACGTTAACAACTTTATCGACAAATAAACACAGATATCCCTCCTACAGGATAAATACCGGAATTAAGGAGTGAGATGTACAGCTTCGAACCTGTCAACTCGATTGATGGGTGTTGAATGATAGTGGGGGGATGATAGAGGGCGGAGAACAAATACTCACCTCTGTAAAGTATCCCACAGCGTACTGTGCCTTGGCCAACCCCATCTCGGCCGCCTTCTTGGCCCACAAATACGCTTCAGTGTCGGATTGAGGTAATACACCAGGTGATCCAACGAGATACCATGCGGTCAAGGCGAAACACGCGTCGATATGGCTTTGAGTTGCTGCAATGTTCTTAGAGTCAGCTACATTACGATTCGTGTGACTCATGAACGAAATATGAAAGAGAAGACTGACATAGTAATGTATTGACAATGCTGGATCGACTGGACAACCCATTTTCCCATACTCATAGCATTCACCCAATTTGAATGCACTTGGTGCATAACCCAATTCGGCGGCTTGTGCTAACAATTCTGCAGCATAGTCATTGTCGACAAAAACGACATTTTCGATACCTCTTTCGTGTAAAAGGGCTAGCTCGTGTAAGGCATGAGGATATTCTTCTGTTGCATGTTCGGCAGAACGTTTCAACCATTTGACCCCTTCTTTAGGTCTACGAGTGAGACCCAAAGTGCCGTTGAGTTCTGCAGTGCCGAGTCTGTACATTGCTCCAGGATGAAGAGCGACTGCTGCTTTTCTGATCGTCAGCATGTCGCACTACATTTTGAAAATGTATAATGATATCCGAGTGAGGGACGTGTAAATGAAACATGTATACGTACTTGTAAAATTGCACAGCTTTTGCACTTTCCCTTCTTGTACCCCAACCATGTTCACAACATGTTCCAGCTCTATAACAAGCATCCGGATGACCATGTTTTGCCGCCAAAACGAAAAGGGGGAAAGCTCTATCGAAATCTTGTCTCCCTCTGACCGTGCCTATACCATTCGCATAACAATCTGCGAGATAGTATTGCGCGTCTGGATAACCTCTATCGGCTAATTTTTTGAGTAAAGCGGTGGCTTCTTTTGTCAATTCTTCACTTTTCTCTATCAAAGCGTTGATCTTCGCACTCTGAGCAGGATCTCGTTGTTCTTCAGGAGGAACCATTGATTTAGCGGCATCGATCATGAATACAGCGAATTCAAACATGAGTTCTGGGTCGTTTGTTTTTTTGGCATTTTCACGATAAAGTTCGAGTGTTCTGTCATGAGAGAGTAAAGATGCTTGATCTCCCGGACGTAAATGGGCTAAGAAGTTTCATCAGCTTTAAAGTGAGATATGAGATGAGAAAACTCACATTGATCTAAGAGAGGAGCAGGTTGAGAGACTACGCGCGATTGTCGAGGATCATAACTATCTCCATCGTCCATATACATGGAAGCGCTACGACTGGAAGCTTGATGAGGGTAAGGCATTGATACTATTCGGTCACCCATCACGTCGAGTCGTGTAGTGTATTCGTGATGATGAGAGCTTTGATGCTGATGGGATTATTAGAAGATGGATGAATGAGATTCGCAGGTTTGTGAGAGAAGCAAAAAGGTGGGACGAAATGTGTAGAAAAGGGCCGAGAGCGAACAAGGGATTTCGTTTCTTCGGAAGACGTGACCGAGCTCGGTTCCAGCGGTGGGTCGCTTGCTTACGAGTAGAGTACTATACTCAAGGTTGATTCGCTGACTACGTGTAAACACTGACACGAGAGAAAGCTGTAGAGGGCAGATGTTTGGGTGAAGAGTACACGTGAGATTAAGAAGTTGAGTAGAAGTCTGAAAGGAGAAAGAAAGGATTTGATGGGTAAATTGGTAAACGCCGTAAGTAGGCCGAGTTGTCAAAGCAACCAAATCCGCAAGTGCGTCATCGATAATCCCGGGACGATGCAGCGGCATCAAAATTTCACCTCAAATTACTCGGTGACCCTCCCCACTTATAGTTTTTTCAACTTTTCTCCATCAGAGAGAGACAAGGAGGACAAGATGTCGACTATCAAGACGGTAGGGATACTAGGTGTGTCATCTACTTGTCACTCTTTCCTAGCTTAGCATCTTGTCAGACATCAACTGAATCCCAGGTGGAGGTCAATTAGGCCGTATGCTCACTCATCCCGCTGCCCTCCTCGGAATCCCTCTGATCATCCTCGACTCTGGTGAAGATACCCCAGCCAAACAAACCCTACAACCTCCACCTTCTCTCACTCATTTAGACGGACCTTTCACTTCTGAATCTCACATCCGCGAGCTGGCCAGATTATGTGACGTCCTCACGGTAGAGATTGAACACGTGAACGCCGATGTTCTCGAAGCTGTCGAACGTGAAGGACTTTGCGAGGTTCAACCTTCTCCAAAGACCATTCGACTCATTCAAGATAAATATACTCAGAAATGTCATTTGGCCAATAAGGGAATACCTGTAGCTCCATTCCGACCTTTACCTCTCAATCCATCAGAAGAAGATGTCAAACGGGTCGTAGAGGAATTAGGTGTTCCTGTCATGTTGAAAGCGAGAACTTTGGCATATGATGGTAGAGGGAATTCCCCTTTAAAATCTGCCAGCTCGGGGGATATACATGACTCTTTGGATTTTTTAGGAGATAGACCTTTATATGCCGAAGGTTGGGCACCGTTCGTAAAAGAAGTAGCTGTGATGGTTGTGAGAAATAAGGACGGAGAAGTTAGAAGTTATGATGCTGTGGAGACTATACATAAGGATAGTATTTTGAGAGTATGTATCGCTCCTCTTCGAGCGAGAGGGATGTTGGGGGTGAATCAAAGAGCCAGGGAATTGGCAGAGAGGGCCGTTTCCACACTTGAAGGTGCGGGGATATTTGGAGTTGAGATGTTTTTGATGGAAGATGGTGAGATAATCCCTATTTTCTCCTCCACACCCTCTGCTTGGTCCGTCTTTTTGCTGCTACTCCTGGACCCATATCCCCCTCTCCGCCTATAAATGGGCATCATGCTTGGGGCCACCTGGATCGTTGCCACAAATTTTCAATATCTCGGGTTATGCATATGGCCTATAAGTCATAGGAGAAAGCAGATTACTCATCTACAGGTTCACTCATGATCAATGAAATCGCCCCTCGTCCTCACAACTCAGGTCATCACACCATAGAAGCCTGTCATACTTCTCAATTCGAAAATCATCTCCGAGCCATACTTTCTCTTCCATTAGGATCCACTTCCCTCCGAGTATCCAGCGCAGCAATGATCAACATCCTGGGGATATCTACCTCTTTATCAGACGTACATTCCATTTCCAATTCCGCTCTATCCGTCCCTGGAGCTTCAGTTCATTTGTATGGTAAAACATCTTCTAGACCAGGAAGAAAAATGGGTCATATCACAATCACTTCTCAATCCGATGCTGAACTATACTCTTCCCTTCGAACTTTACTACAATCACAACCTGATTTAGATGAGAAATTCGTCGATTCCATTTCACCTTCACCTGAAAAAGGAAAGAGTCATCCTTATCCTTTAGTGGGAATAATCATGGGTTCAGATTCTGATTTACCGATCATGTTACCAGCTACGAAGATTTTAGAAAAGTTTGAAATACCATTTGAACTTAGCATAACTTCGGCTCATCGGACTCCGGAAAGGATGACCAAATATGCTAAAGAAGCGGCCAGTAGGGGATTGAGAGTTATAATTGCTGGAGCTGGTGGAGCAGCTCATTTACCTGGTATGGTAGCTAGTGAAACCGCTTTACCGGTAATTGGTGTACCTGTCAAGGCTAGTGTATTGGATGGAGTTGATTCTTTATATTCTATCGTACAAATGCCAGTGAGTCTCTTTCTTAGTTACACAAATTGCTCTACTCGACACTTGATAACTCTCCTCATACGACTTAAGCATCTGTTCAAATTGGGTCTCCTTGTGTCGTCAGTCCATACCCCTCCGTCCAATCGGTAGATGATCGTTGCTCTGACCATCTCTCTGAGCGGGAGGAGATCATGGAAAGCAAACCAGGTCGATGCTGACAGCTAGCGTGGGATACCCGTCGCAACGGTAGGAATTAACAATTCGACCAATGCTGCCATTTTAGCGGTACGTATATTAAGCGGGAGCATACCAACTCTTATTCAAGCCATGGAGAACTACGCACAAGATTTGGAGAAAGAAGTAATGGGGAAAGTCAAATTACTCGATGAACAAGGATGGGACAAATATTCAGAAAAGTTGAAAAAGTAATCCAAACTATCATCATCACTATCTTTCACCCTCAACTTTCTTGCTCATTTGACATATTTCATGCATGGTTCGTCATTTGACAGAGATTTGGTATTGCTTATGCGGGGTATTAAGTATGACAGAATTGAGACAGATAGATGAATCGTCGAAAATGACAATGAAGATCGGATGAAATATCGAGATATAGTGATGATATTATTTCCTAAGACCGAGAGATCCGCGTACTCGCCCTTGAGCGCACTTCAGTCGCTCGAGAAGCCATTTTCGTAACTACAGAAGTGGGTAGACCGAAAGGAGGATTGAGGTCAAGTTTGAATCCTCCGAGTTTGGTCCGGGTTTTCGGAATTGCAATCGTTGACATCTCGTCTTTTGACTTGGCAGACGAAGGTATATGAAGAGGTACGACATGTCGCACGGCTGCCTGAGGAGTAGCTGGGAAAGGTTTTTGAATATGGGAAGGTGGGGAGGAAGCTTCATGCAAGGTCGTGGCGGCTTGTGTAGGATCAGTCGAAAGCGGGACAGCAGAGGTATGGCTTTGCGACATTACGGATCTTGTCTCCATAGATCCGTCCTCGTGGACCGACATCGAGTGAGGGTCAGATGACTCCCGGGTAACAGGTAATGGAATCAAAGGTTTTGGTGATAATAAGGAATGTGTGTCCTTGAAACTCGTAGGTATGTTTGGTGGTATTTCTTCAAGATCTTCCTCGATATTCGCATCTTTCGCTCCTACATTGTACCCCTCTCTTCCCTCATCATCACCTCCGTTACCTACACTCATGTCAATCCTATCTTCCAGGTCATCGGCTTGGCCTTGACTTTTACGCTCTCCAGTGTTCTGCACTTGGTCTTGTCCGTCATCTTCATCTTCATCACCTGGAACTCTCTGATCTTCACGGTCCGTTACAGCCCTAGCCTCGTTGTTTGTTTGTTTCCCGACGTATGAACGGTCATCTTCTGAATCCTCACTGTCTGCCGAAGGTGCGTTGGTCCTCATACCAACAGTCCTTCCTATTGGGACTGATCCATTATCCGAACCGTTCATAACACTAAAATCGTCCGGATCTCCATCATCATCTTCGATCAACCCATATAGCTCTTTATCATCATTCGACCCGGTTTCCATAGTGACGTCCTGATCGTCCGGCCCAACTTGAGCTTCCTGTTTGACTTCAACGTGGTTATGGTTGACCGATCCTCTTCCCAAAGTCCAATCTACTAATCTTCCTAACATTCCACGTTTTTCTTCCCCCGATGAGACCCTTATGGGACTGCTAAATTCGTCTTTCCTTGCATCTTCAAGTTCATTAGCTCGAGGAGGTAGCGATTGACTTAAATGGGGTCTTGAGGCCGAGGAAGTAGCTGAATGTGGCGTTGGCGACGTACTTTGAGTCGAGGGATCCAAAGATGATATTTGCAACTTTGGCTTTTTTCTCACCGGTGACCGTCGAGATGGAGATGAAGCATTGTCTGCCCCGAGGGAGCTTGACCGAGGATGTGATGGTGGCTGTTCACGGGGCCCGGGACGTTTGGCAGGGATTATTTGGGTCTCATGACCATTGACCTGTGTACGTCTCGGAGAAAGACTAGACCGGTCTATAGGCGAGGAGCTTGTCGTCTTCTTCGGCGTTGGAAGATGCTTTAATTCTGCACGGACGACCGAGGGATCAAGGACTAACATGTTCACCTGTTTGTTGACATATTGTGAAAGACTGTACTCCACTGCAGATTTTTGAGAAGTTGACAGTGATTGCGAGACATCTTCTTGTGGTCCTTGCTGGGAAGGGACAGAGGGCTGTTGAGATTGTGTTTTGTTTTCGATCTCTGGTAAGGGTAGAGCTCGAGACTTAGCGTATCGTCGTTGTTCACGTTCATAGTCTGAAAGTTGAGATTCATCTTCAGTCGGATCTTGTCGTCTTGGATGTACAGAAGATGTCTTATGGTCCGTCTTTGGGGATATGAGCGTCTCAAAATCGAAGAAACCTCGTTTGACTTTGACATACTTGACATTAGGTCGTACGGCTATTTCACCATCGCTAGATGTATCATCATCCACAAGTATTGGAGAAAATGATGATGGATCTTGTACATGACCGGGATGAGGAGAATTCACTGGGATAGACGATGATATTTCGATGGGAGTTGTATAAGTGGGTATGGGCTGAACAGAAACTCCGCTGAGTTGAGGATGTGATAAAGGGGTTTGATGTGACGGCGGATGTTCCAAAGATGATCTTGTTTCAGGAGAGAGTGGTATTATTTGGCCAGCGGGGGGGAGTTTGGCTGATGATTCAGCTGATCCTGATGGACCGGACGGTACTTCGTCATCTGGTAATTGCGAGAAGGACGGTGGAGGGTGTAGATCAAGACCAAAGACCGTGATACGCTTCAATTCGTTTTCCACGTCTTCAGGTAACTCGAATATCCATTCAGGGACAGGTTTAGGTTTTTTGCCGTCCGTAGAGAAAAGATATGGTTGAAGGAACTGTTCGAATTGTCCTACTCCTCTTCTTATGACCTGAGATCTTCTGACGCTCTGGGTCGTGGGAGCTTGAGAAGGATCAGTTATTGATCTACCGGGTTAGCTCATCTTACATTTCCCCTTGATGGAAGACCGTGCAGGCAGTCAGAATGGGAAGGGTATCAAAACAACTTACTCCCCAAACCACCATTTCCGTAACACTCTTTGGATTTCTCCATCGCCCTTTCCTCTACCCACTTCGACGGTGTCCTCGAAAAACACAGGATCATTCTTGTCACCCGTGACGACAGTCCAGTCAAGTATCTCTAGCTCCAATTGGGGTAACTCAAGGTCGTCTCCTCTGGTCAGAGGAGGATTGAGGTGAAAACGAAAAGAAGTGAGCCGGAAAACAGCTCGAAGTGAAGAGGTCAGAGATTCCGAGGGTACCCCACAGATGGATCTGAGGAACTTTCAGTATCAGATAAGTAAGACACAAGGAATAGACTCACGTCTCATGTTGATCTGTCCTGGCCACATCGAAAACCACGGGTACTCTGTGGGTCGCATCGGAAATAACTCCTCTTATCTGAGCATGAGGATTGTTAGAGTCCCTGTATGTGTGAAACTGTTTCTGTCAGTCATATCTCGTTGGAATGTTCACATATATGTGTGTTTGTAGTCAAGAGATTTGGTCACAGTGCATGGGGTTGGAGACTCACTTCGATCACCTGACAAAACCTACTACCTTGCCAAGGAACACTCAGATTCGCTCCATGAGCTCTATCATGCTGTAGGACGGCTTTCGTTATCCAACTTCCTATATCTGCCGCCATCCTCCTCCCTTCTTCGTGTTACGCGGTGTCTTTTTGCCGTGTCGCGAGCGAATGTCGGCGCGACGAAAGAGCGCGTAGGGATAATCCCGACGGAACTCGAATTAATCCCGACGAAATTTTGCCACTTTCTCCCAAAATACGTCACTCAACCCGAGGATCCCTCCACTACTGACCCAAATACCTACGGAATGTCCCCAAATCCCCCCTGTATTGAATATGCATCCTACCGTGGCTTCTTGCATATCTATGGGTTGCCACACGTATTCTGAAGCCATTCATGCAGGCAGAACCTCCGAATTCGGAGTCCTTGGTTCTCTACAGCCATTTGGAGTTCAAATTCGGAAACGCCCCCGAAAGGATGTGTCCTTCAACCCTAGGCACTGTTTGGCGGTGATTGGGCAATCATTTTTCTCCTCTTCTTATTTCAATCATCTTCTTTCCATTGATTTAAACATAATAGTAACTTACTGAATT